TTCTTAAAATGAAATATTTTAAGAAATGATACAATGCATGGTGGCCTTAGAGATCGGGATGTGGGAATCGCATCCTTGGGGGCAGGTCCCGAAACCCGTACGGATCCGCTTCTTGTTTAGTGGAATGATGGCTTTGCACTTTTTTTAGACGGACATTTTTACCGCTTCTTGTTTAGTGGTATGATGAGCTGCACACTTTCATTATACAGATATTTCTATTGTGAGTATTTCCTTTTCTAAAAAGGGATGATCGGTTCTGGATGTATATCTTCGGACCGTGAGTACCTTTATTTTAAATGCTTTATAAAATTTATATCCTACTGGGCCTTTCGCTCACCTTTTTCTGTTTTTAAATGTATTAAACCCCTCCAGGCGACGCGAGGAGTGGTGTGGAATAGGTAGCTATTACCGGTGGTGTGGACTTGATCTCGGGAAGCAAAGAGTTGTAACCCTTCTATCTTTTATTTCAAGGCATGTATAAGAGATTATGGTTTGTAAACTTAAATGTTGCTAGATTGTGGTTGATGTCACATTTACTTATGTTTATATTCATGTATGCTAAACCCCTGTGGGAATTCCTGACATGATACCAGTGATGTGGTTTTAAAACTGGTTTGGTTGGAAATTCCACCACCGTTCTTGAAATTAAATTTCTCTTGAATGCAGGGGCTCGTTTGGAAATACCTGAATGTTTTAGATTTGAAAGGAATTAAATTATTTTGCTAATCTCTCTTTCCCAAACAGGTTTAAGTTTCTAAACGAGCCTCCACGTCACTAACCCCGGTTTAGGGGCGTGACAGTAAAATTAAGAGGAGATTAAGTTTTTCTTGAGGAAACAAACTGGAAAGCAACGAGTTTTGAACTTGGGTTTTAGTAGAAAAGGGGCTTTCAAGAGGTTATCTCCATCAAGATCGGATTTAAAGTAAAATCTTTCAGAAACTCTCTTTTGACTTTGAATTTTCTTTGGAAAGCTGTGATTTGGCTTGGTTTTGGTGAATTGTGGTTTGAACTTGATTTTGGGTTGAGATTTTGGTTGGAATCCATGATGGAAATTTGAGGGTTTTGGTTCCTTGAACTTGGAAAGGTGTTTGAGTGTTGGTTTATATGATTTCCTCATGAATTTCCCTTGAAAACGAACCAAAATCCTGAGTTCTTACAGGTTTTTGAGCTGATTCGGCGAGTTTTTCTCACCCTGCAGATCTCCATTGGTCGACCTGTGCGGTCGACCGGTCAGCACACCACTGGTCGACCAGTGGTGATACATCTCTCTGTCACCAGTCGGCCGGTTGACAGAGGAAAAGGACCCGAACTATTTTAAAAATGTTATTTTGACCCTGGACTTCAAAGAGAACTCAAATTAGCTTCATTTGAAAACTTAAATTGATGGATTAGCATCTCTAATCCATGCTTTTGAGATCAAAATCCTTGGAATGATGATTTAAATCCTGAACTTATTTATGAAACTTGGAATTGGATTAAGGCACACTAATAGGAAATCAATGTGTACGATTGAGCTTGATTTGTTTTAGGAATAAGGATTGTTTCCTAAAACGTTGTTTTGTGACAATGCTAGTTGAGGAATCGGATTAGAAGCTTTAAGGAAAACGGAGGCTAGGATAATGAAAGGCTAGCCACAAGTTTGACATTCGTGAGGTAGGATATCCTTACCCATTTCCTTGTTCGCCTGTTTTAGAGTGTTTTGGCTTATGGAAATGTTTTAAAGATAAAACATGCTTGATAAAGAAAAGTAATTTAAAACAATAGCTTGATTATTGCTATTGGACTCATAATGAATTGATTTAAAATTTTAATGAATAATTTCTTAAGATAAGATATCTTGTGAATCGGTAAGCCCGCTGATGGCCTAGATAGTATATAAAGATCGTATCCTTGGGGGCAGAACCCGAAACCCGGATCGGGCCACTACAGTGGTGATAAGGCTTGTGCTTTTGGTTGTGTAAGTAATTTATCATAGTTATAAATTACTTGCTGATGCCTGTAATATGGAATTTAATTTTATATTTTCTTTTCAGGAAAATGATGTTTGGTTCCGGCTGATGTGTTGGAACTCTGCATTTCTATTTATTTATTAAGCTTTCTAAAATATATCCTATTGGGCATTCTACTCATTTTTCTTTTGTTTTAAATCTATTTAACCCCTCCTAGGCGACGCTAGAAGTAGTGTTGAATAAGTAGCAAACTCATGTAACCCTAGCTTGTGTGGTTCAAGAGAAGAAGTTGTACACACTTCCGTTCCTGTTGCACAATGTAAGATATGTATAAATTCTCATACTGTAAACTTTAAACACTTCTAGACTATGGTTGATGTTTGTAAATGTTTCTTTACATGTTCATGTATGTACAATATTATATATCCTGTGGGGAAAACTCTGAATGATGCCAAAGGCTCAATTTTGAACTTGTTTTGTCAAGAAAAGTGTGAAAGTCCATATCACTTTCTCGTATTTCAATTTTATCAAAATGTGGGACTTGTTTGGAAATTTCTTTAATGTTTTACTTTTGACTTTGATTTTCATATATTCAAATGCTTAATTACTCCATTAATTAGGTTTAATTTCTAAACGAGCCTACACGTCACCAACCCCTGTTTCGAGATGTGACAGTGATAAGAATAGTGGTTCTAGGATTACCTTCACCACTTGGACGCAGAAAACTGCCGTTCATGGTCGTCAGAAAACGTCGATGGCCGGCCGGATTCAGTGGAGAACCTGCAAACACGAGGAAGAATGGCAAGAGACTCTTAAGCTCCTCGCTATCTCTCCCTCTCTCCAAAACCGGCACCCACACGTCCTCCACACACACACACTAAGACAACCACCTCCAAAATATCTAATAAGTTGTCTTCAACCAATAGGTTGTGTGGGTCTTATTAGGCTTTAAACAATATCTGATAGAGAGAGTATTTAGTCTAATGGGCTAACTAAATATTATGAAATCGAGGAGCTTATGAGTGTCAAGCTAGTAAACAAACTAAGTGTGCATCTCATTATTGACCGATATTTAACATACATGCATAAATAAATTTACATTATCAAAATTATTCATAACATGTTTTAATTTATAATAGAGTAAATTATTACGATTATGAAAGTTCACGTAAAAATATTCTAACAATAAATTCACTTTTTAAGTTAGAATTGAAAACTTTTGAATCAAAGAAACTTACAAGGAATAAGTACACTGCATTTAAAAATTAAACACACGTAACTTTAAATGGTGACTAACTAGTAATAGAAATAACTTCTTGCGTTATTCAAAAAAAATAATAAAAAAACTGATGGTTCAAAATAGTATCGCAGCGGTAGGGCAAAGAATTCTCATTCTATTGTAAATGACAATCGGATTATAGCTGAAATATCATAATTAGGACTACAGTGTTTTATCACACTTTAGTTGACGGCCTGTTTAAAAGTCTACCTTTGACATTTCCTACTGCATAATGCATATTGCTGATATTTTTTTTAAAAAAAAGACAAGGAAACCACGTGACCGAACAATGGTATCATCGGCGACGTGGAAAATTCTCATAGTAAGTTCTCAGTCTCTGCTTGTGTTAAGGAGTAACGTTAAACATATGACATAATATGACATTTGACATAAGGTTCAAGTAGTATCTGCTTGTGTTTGAATAGGAAGGAAAAAAAAAGTTAAAAAAAGAAAAAAGAAAAAAGACTAGGAAGACAGAGGAACAAGCTTTAAGACTTGACATTGATGTAACGTCTTCATAGTCGATACTAGCACAATTTCCTAGCAAATTCCCATGTAAAGTCATCAATTTCTGCTGGTGTCATGTTTGACTACGGAAAAAAAAAAAAAAGGAATAAGCTTTTAAAGGAGGGAGGTTCTCTATTACATTACATGTAACGTATCAATAAGTTGAATTTTTTTAACTATTAAATCTGTATTTTTAATTTTTACGTTATATTATATAGATTCAATGAACATAAAACCTAATCTCGCAGTATATTAGCGCACTAAAGAATGTCCTTTTAAAGTATTACTAAACAATGATAAAGGCTTTGTCAATAATAACATCATCTTGCTAAATCAATTTCCCATCTAGATTATCACTCTATCTGCCTGTGCAAAGAAATCAGCAATCTAACCGAATCATTTTTTTTTCCCCTTCTGGTTTAGTCCTTTTTTGACTAAAAATTGATCGGTTATTTTTTTTTTTTTTTAAATAAATGAGGAAGAAACAAAAAAATAATATTAGGTAGGAGTTCAAGATTAAATAAGCTTGAAAGCAAAAACCTCAATGAATGCTTCAAACACATACACAAACAGGATATTTTATATTACCGAATTTTGCAACCATACAAGACTTAAAATTAAAGCGTAATACGAGTGAAGAACTAGTAGTTACTTGTAACATGAAAATCTCAAGCAGATCTATGCAGCCTCAGTTCTTCAATCAAGTCATTCAAATTGGAGTAAGAAGATCCGCCTTCTTCAAAAGCCTTTCTTGCCGTTTTCGCAAGCGCCCTGGCTCTGCTTCTCATTTCCTGCGCTTCTTCTCCTTCCATAATCCTATTCACAGCCTTCTCTATGGCTTCACTCTTAACACTATCCCCCACAAATCTAGCCCATTTTTTAGCACCAACGCCAACCCCAATTCTTAAGATTTCGGTAACAAGCTTCTCATTGTAAAACTGCTCGGCCGACACAGGCCATGTCACCAGCGGCAACCCTGCACAAACTCCTTCCAATGTTGAATTCCAACCGCAATGAGTCACAAATCCACCAACAGCTTCATGTTCAAGAATCAGCACTTGGGGTGCCCAACCTCTTATTACAAGTCCCTTTCCTTCCATTCGCTTCTCAAATCCTTCAGGTAGCCATTCTTCTTTTCCTTCTTGCAGCTTTTCTTTCCTCACCGTCCAAATAAAATGCTTCCCCCAAGCCTCAAGAGCCATCGCAATCTCCATCAACTGTGTATCATTAAAGTTTACGTTGCTTCCAAAAGTTACATAAACAACTGAATTGGGCTTCTTTGAGTTGAGCCAGTTTAGACACTCACGCTCGTCAATGGAGGATTTCGGTCCTCTCTGTGCCTTGTCTTCTTTATCTTTATTGAGAAGATAAAATGGGCCAATATGCCAAGCCCTCCTTCCAAGGACCCTTCTGTAGTAATCGGCATAATCCGGCTCAAGTTCATAGTAGCTGTTGACAATAACCCCATAGCTTGTCTCCTCCGATTCAGTAAATTGTCTAGCAAGAGTAGCCAACTCTGATTCTTGTTTTATATAAGGAGGAAGTTGATCCCTGGTGAGTTTGATCTCATGTGGTAAATTAGGAACGACAAAAGGCTCGGAGTCAGATGATACCTTCTTGTAAGGTTCGTGCTCCATCAAACATATTGAAGTGCACAAAGCGAAGAAACTGACTCCATGGAATACAAGCCTGGGAATCCCAAATCTGGCTGCCACTTCTGTGGCCCATGAGAACGTAATGTCGGCAACGAGGCAATTGGGGCGGTGTTCCTTTATGAGCTCCTCAAGTGGTTGTTCAAGCATGGTAGTGGCCTTAAAAAACTTCTCCACCATATCGTCTGATGTAAGCATGTGAACATTTTCACATCCTTCAGGCAATTCGAAATCGAGAACAGGAAATTTAAGAAGAACAATTTCAATTTCTAAACCCAGATTTCTGCTTCTTTCAATTTCTTGGGTGAAGAAGAGAGCATTGGCAGGTGTTAAGATAACTGTCGCTTTGCAGCCTCGAGAAGCAAATAGTTTGGCCATATCTACGGCTGGTATCATGTGGCCATGAGCCATGAATGGGAAGAAGAAGACGTGAAGTTGGCTTGTTTCATTGCTCATGTTGACACGTTTAGAAAATTATTAAGCTTTCTGAGAACGAATGCCTATGAGAAAGGAGATAATTATCATCTAAATAATTAATTAAAGAACTAGTTGAGAGAATTACAATATATAAACAGTTTTCTACTTGCCAGGCACGGCTTTTCTTTTTTTTTTTTTTTGCTGAATACTTGCCAGGCAAGGCTTGCTTAGTCAAAGTTCAAACAAATATGTTATGCAACAAGAATTTTTTAATTTTTGCTGAAAGAAAAGTTTATTACTATGTAATAACAAAGAAAAGTTTATTACTATATAATAACAAAGACTTTGGAGATGTATATATAAATATTAGTAATCTCTTGCACCAGTTAAAACCTTTATATTATAACATTTTATAACAAAACTTTAACTAGAGAGATAGAGAGAAGAAAAACAATAATCACAACTAACCAAAGAAAAGCAACTGTACAAGCAGGGAGCAAGCTTTCGGGATTCCAAAGATACCACTTAGAATGCATGGGTCTTGAATTCTTACCATTTACAGTTATTAATACCCTTTACTCAAAGAACTATATTAGTCAAAAAGATATTAATGGTAAAGTATTAAAACAATGCATTTAAAGGGTGCGGTTCACCAATTTTATCTAAAAAGAATACAGCCGAAAACGAAGTTAAAGGAACGAAATTGCAAAACTAACATATTATATTGACTTAACATATGGTAAAATGAGTAACTACATTTGAAAAAAAAAAAAAAAAAAAAAAAAAAAAAAAAAAAAAAAAAAAAAAAAAGAAGAAGAAGAAGAAGAGAGAGAGCAGTTCCCCTACCTTCAGTTTCAGGAGTATTATGCACTATGCATCAGCCTCATTTCCTCAATGAAGCCATCCAAATCCAAGTACGAAGATCCACCTTCCTCAACAGCCCTCGATGCCATTTCTGCAAGTTCCCTGGCTCTGCCTCTCATTCCGTCTACTTCGTCTCCCTCCATAATCTGACACACTGTCTTCTCCACGGCTTCCCTCTTCACAAAATCCCCTACTTGTCTTTCCCATTTCTGAGCACCAACTTGTACCCCAATTCTAAGTATTTGAGTCACCAACTTCTCATTGTAAAATTGCTCAGCAAACATCAGCCAAGTGACCATTGGCACCCCGGTACACACCGCTTCCAGCGTCGAATTCCAACCACAATGTGTCATAAATCCTCCAACAGCTTCATGTTCAAGAATCAACACTTGTGGCGCCCACCCTCTTATGATTAATCCCTTCCCTTTAATTCTCTCCTCAAACCCTTCAGGCAACCACTCTTCTCTCACTCCTTGCTTCTTCTCCTTCTTTACAACCCAAATGAATTGCTGCCCAGAAGCCTCGAGTCCCATCGCAATCTCCATTAATTGCGCATCTCCAAAACTTGCCATACTCCCAAAACACACATAAACAACCGAATTTGGTTTCTTCAAGTCAAGCCACTTCAAGCATTCATGCTCATTACCAGAGTCCTTACTCATTCTCCCTTTTCCTTTCCCTTCAACCTTATCAATCAACAATGAAATCGGCCCTATATGCCACGCCTTCCTTCCAAGTACCCTCCTGTAATGATCAGCATAATCTGGCTCAAGCTCGTAGAAGCTATTCACAACAACACCGAAACACTCCAACTCAGACGCTTTCCCCGCTTTGTACGCCCTCGCAAACTCCGTTGCGGCATTTCGTCGAACATACGGCGGGAGTTGCTTCCTCATCAACCTTACCTCATCCGGGATATTAGGAACAACAAAAGGCTCCGAATCCAACTCCACATTCTCGTGTGGCTGATAGTCCAACACGCTCGACGAAGCGCATAAAGCGAAAAATCCTATTCCATGGAAGACAATCCTCGGAATGCCCTGTAGCCCAAGGGAAGAACACGTCGGCCACAAGGCAAGGGGGCTTATGATCCCGAAAGAGATTCTCTAGAGGCTTGCCAAGCATGGCGGTTGCTCTATAGAACTCCTCAACCATCTCCGGCGTTGTCGCCATATCTGGACTTTCGCAGCCTTCTGGCATGCCCATGACAACACGAGGGAATTTGATTACGAGAATTCCGATATCTAATCCTTTGTTTTTGCTGTCGTTGATTGTTTTTGAGTGGAGCTCTGCGCTGGAAGGTGTTGTGATGATTGTCGTTTTCATGCCCCGGAAAGCAAAGAGCTTGGCCATGTTTATGGATGGTATTATGTGGCCTTGTAACATCAGCGGGAAGAAGCATATGTGAAGCTGACGGGACATTGTTGAATGTGAAGAATTATTATGGTGATAATGTAGGGGCGTTTAGTTCGCTGATTCGAGTTTTTAATTCGAGTTTAGATGTGATTTTATGTGAGAGTTTTTTACTGTAGTAAAAAAGTTAGATGTGATTGTTTGTGAGAGTTTTTTACTGTAGCAAAACTCGAATTCTAAACTCGAATCAACGAAATGAACGGAGCCGTAAGCTTTGAATTTGATTGACTGTGAAGAACTTTTTGGCTTCTTGATTTGGGGGAAGAAGAGAGTTTATAGCCTCCTTTACTTTCTAATTCGAATTTTTTAAAATGTTATATTTTTTAATAATTTTTAACTATAATAAAAAAAAATTAAATATAATATTTTTTTAAAAAATTTTACAAAAAAAACTTAAATCGATAAAATAAACAAAACATGTGAAAAGTATTGTTGTAAATGATTCATGATGCTTAAAATGAAAGTAAGTGTTCATAAATTCAGCGATAAAATAATAAATGAATAAAAATGCAGATAAAATACACATATATTTTACGTGAAAAATTTTGAAAACAAATGAGGTAAAAATTATGAAATAAGTGTGAAAAATTTTACTATAAAAAATCAGAATTATAACATTCTCTCAAAATTATACAAAAAGAATAATTAAAACATTTTTCTCATACAAATAAAAAAAAACTATTCACAAAAAAAAATTAGAGAAATTAAAATATTCTCGTATTACGAGAATATTCTGAGAAAAAGAGAGAATGAAATTATTAAAAACTAAAGAGGGAGCTCCGTATTTATAGGCCCAAAACCTCCCCCTCTTTTTTTCCTTCACGTTTCTTCCTTCTATTCTCCTCTTCTCTTCTTTTCCTTTCTTCTTTCTTCTTCAAACTTGTGGGCTACTAGGCTTCTTTTTCCTTTTTTTTTTCTTTTCTTTGTTTTCGGCTGCCCATTGTCTCCAGCCCATCATTTTTTACAGCAATAAATGCCCTGACATTTTGCCTACGTTGCTATTGTAAAGTTTTGAAAAATGAGAAATGAAAAACAGATGGTGCGTTTAGAATTAGTTCAAAAATATTTTTGTTTTTTTGTATAAAAATAAAAATAAAAACGTTTTTATTTTTATTTTAAAATCATTTTTGAAAATGCGTTTGGTAGTTTTATTCAGAGATTGATTTCAGTTTTAAAAAAAAACTGAAACTGCGTTTGGTGGTTTAATTTTTGAAAACATGTAATAATATATTAAATAAATAATATTATTAAATATATTAAATAAACATCATTATATATACATATTATATAT